AAAAAAAAAAAGAGTTGAGATTATAAGTACATGGAGATTTGTTACACTCTTCATTTTGTATATTTGTGGTTTTCCATTAAGTTCTTAAAATTTTATAATCAAGTGCTGAACAGAATTGAAATCTAAAACTCTTTTCTCTTTTTATAGATGGCAAGAAGGAAGTTGAAAAAATTTACTTCACTGGAGATTGTGCTCAGCGTTCTTTTGCTTATAGTGTTCATCATTGCTGTTGTTCTAATTGTGCTTTTAGCCACAGGCCCTGTGGAATCAAAAGGTAACAAGAAACTCTGGGGCTTTCTCTTCATATATTACTCTTGTCAGAATAGAACTCTCATCAATGCTGGAAGCAATACTTTCATGCTCATTGGTGAGTGTGTGTGTGTGTGTGTGTGTGTGTGTGTGTGTGTGTGTGTGTGTGCGCGCGCGCGCATGCGCAACTTGTATATGTTGGGGAAACATTTAATTAAAACTGAAGCAGCTTAAAAGAATAGTCCTTGTAGGTTTAAATTTTGATGCTTCCATTTTCTGCATTACTTAGTGCCCTGGATTAAATTCCAAAATCAACATGGAATAAGTTTGCTGAATTTTGCTGAATAATTCTGTTAATGATGTTGAACAATATGCTTGTGTAAAAGTAGAGTAAATAAGTATATAATTAAAGTATTTCAGGGCTAAGTTTGGTTCTTCAGGAAAGAAAAACAAGTGATTTACTGTATTAAAAGTTTTTTGAACTGTTATATCCCCAAGGGTGGGCTGGATTGTGCTAAATTATCCAGGATTTCCTATCTGATTCATCTAGGAGCAGCATCTTAAGGGAACCAGGTAATGCAGGGCCAAGTTGTGACTACAGGAAAACCTTCTTTGCCCTTTCTGCCTCCTTCCCAGCTGCAAGGATTTCTACTTTTTGTAGGAAGTTAGATTAGATAATCTTAATGGTCATTCAATTTCTTAGAAATTCTGTGATTCTAAAGATGAAATTAAAGCCCTTATGCAAAACCAGTACAAATACAGTTTGTTTAATCCACCACACAGTGAAAGGAAAACTATTTAAAAGCCTCTACTTTCTCTTAATGTCATTATTAACTATAGTATTGCAGAACACCTTAAAGAAATCTCACTATTTACTGATCCTTAAATCAAAATTCTCTAGCTCTAGGATAGGCTCTAGCTTCCAGTTTCTAGACTGCTGAGCTCCCTTTGCATTTTTTGTCATTAGAGACTCTATATTTACAGAAGAACGCCATTGCTCAGAAATGTCCTTTTCCAGTGGGTTGGCTGTTGACAAACGAGCAGAATTGAGGTGCAGAGATTAGGAGGTCTCTTATTGCACATGTCTGTGTATGTCAGGGGCTGGGATGGAAGTCAAGGACCAGAGCAGAGATCTGCAGACTTTTGTCTAAAATGCAAGTAGTAAATATTCATGGGCGATATGTTTCTGTCATCACTGCTTGATGTTGTCTTTATAGTATAAAAGCAAGTATAAACAAATAAACATGTCTGTACTTCAGCAATACTTCATTTAAAAAATAGGTTCTGACCTGATTTGTTTTGAAGGCCATAGTTTGCTGACCCTTAGATGAAAAGGAAAATTATTTCTCATTTTCATCAACTTCTAATCTAATGATCAAGTTTTTTCTCACGTATATACTGTCCTGTAGGGAGATAGTATGGGTTTGCGAGTCGAGGGAGATAGTGTTGGTTTGCCAAATTAGCAAGACAAAGTGAGGCTTTAGAAAGTGATGATGTATAAATTAGAGGATATCAGAGTGAAGCCTAGTTAATAGTGGAGTTAATTTATTAAAAGTGTTGGAATTATGGGACTACTGAGTGCCTGTGGCATTTGATGTTTGCTTTGGGTATAACCCTAGATCCTGAGACAACTGGTACCCCGGTTCCTGAGACAACTGGTACCCCGGTTCCTGAGACAACTGGTACCCCGGTTCCTGAGACAACTGTTACTCTGGTTCCTGAGACAACTGGTACCCCAGTTCCTGAGACAACTGGTACCCTGGTTCCTGAGAAAACTAGTACCTCAGATCCTGGGACAACAAGCACCACCCCTGATTCTGCTGCCTGCCCAGTGGTAGATGAATTGGAACGGATAAACTGCATCCCTGACCAGCCACCAACACAGGTTTGAGTTACAGATCTTGTTTTCATTAAAGAGTTCATTCTGCTGTGTGGTTTTCTGTTTCGTTATTATTTTTAATTCTGTTTGTGACTCACGAAGAGCTGTGTATATTGCAGCTGTGAGTGACTCAGGTAAATGGACCACGTATCCTTGCTCATGTGATTGTGCAGCTTTGAGAGAAGAGCAGGAAAATTCCCTTGGCTTGTCAGATTTCACGAATAAAAATATAGGTTAAATTTGAACTTTAGAGAAACTGTGACTATATTTTTAGTTTAAATATATCCCATGTAAGATTTGAGTCTTACTAAAAATGCACTTATCTTTCACTTGGCAAAGTCATTTGATTGCTAGCTCTCCCTGACTCTGCCCCTCCCTCTGTTCTTTCCCTCTGTTGCTTTTCCTCCCTTCAGCATTTTGAAAGGTTATCTAGCGCCTACAATAAAAAAATCATACATGTGCATGAAGCATGATTTAAAATAAGGACAAAGTTTCATGAGCTATGGTTTAGGAGGAAGAGGGTAATAAACACCAGAGTAAAGGTAACACAGCATCTGGACATTCACTTGATTCCACTATATCTTGAGCACTGGCTGAAGTTCAGCTGATTACAATGATAATAAAGTCCTTGTACACTCCTTATCAGCCACTTTTTACTTTAAGAAAAAAATGATATCTAAATGAAAACTAAGTGCAATCTTCTGAGTGAAGTCCACTGACATGCAGTGGTAGATTTGCATCAATACAGAACAGGTGCTTCATGTATCTACTGCTTGGACATGTGGCACTCCCACATTCATCTTTGTAGTCAGTAGTCTATAGCAATCTGTGATGTTCCTGAGGATTTCTATTTTGCCTATATATCCAGGGCCTATATATCCATATACGTTTCCTTTCCTATTAGAAGACAAATCTGCTCAAGTGGTTTACTCTTCTTGGGGAAAGAGGTGAGGTGGAGGTAGGTATGATATGGGGTAAAGAGGCATCAGAATTATAATTCTGGCTATCTCAACCAGAAAAAGGTAAACAAGACAGACAAATGAGTGGGGAATGGGAACTCAGTCAGAAAACATGATTTCTCAAATATCCAGACGTTCAATGTTTTGAAGCATCTGGTAATTGCTTTAACACCACCCCCCTTCCCACGAGCACTTTATTTGGTTGGATCAAGAAGGCAAGAGAGTCTCTGGAATATATTTATGAAACAGCACAGAGCCCAGTGTGACTAGAATAGTGTGAGAGAAGAGGAGACTAGAGTTGGTGATGGTGAGGCTTTGGAAATCAGGAAAGGCATTTGGTTTGGGTGTGATACACAGTGACTTGGAATAGCCATTTAAGGCAGAAGGGAGCCATATAATGCAGAAGAAGAGAAAGGAGTGAATAAAAGACTTAGAGACATAAAAAGAAAGGAACATAAAAGGGAGAAGGAAAGAAAAGCACTTTGAGTATGGGGCCAAAATTAAAGATAAATAGCATTTTAATGGACAGAGATGAAAGGAATGGAAAGTGAATTCAAGATAGAAGAGATAATATAAACAGAGTTACAGGAAGGGAAGTTACAGGAACACGGTCACATATAGGGTGAATGCCAAAGGGAGGACGAAGTTGAGACTGTAGGATAGCTTGAGGCTTGAAGTTAAAGTGCTGCTTTATCCATAGAAATGGTAAGTTGTGGTCTAGCTGTCTTGTACCTAAATGATTGGCATAGTAGGATGTTAGGTATACAGAAACTTGGTGCATACTGATTAGCTTGCCCCTCTTACATTGTACTAGGAATACATTTATTCAGCGGCCCATTTAGAAGCCTACCACATTTTACATATGTCACTCCTGCCCCACCCCATCTTGTTACTGGATATTGGTGAACTTTAGATTTATTACTGCCATAGTAATTGTTTTTTGCTGTTTTCTCATAAGACTTTTCAATAAATATGTACTTTAATAAGTGACATTTGGATTTTTCTACATGGTGTACACAAGGGAATTACTTTATGACCTTGGTGTTCATTCATTAAACATGTTCCTCTTTTGCTCAGTCAGAGAGAAATTCTGCCACTCTCAACGGTCTATTTTCTCATGGAAGGCTTATTTTAGGCAATTTATTGCATTTGTTATGTGTCCTGGACACTATATGCTGACCAAGACTATTGCTGTGAGGCTGAGTTTATAGATAATGATGTACTTATACGATATGCATGTTAAACAGAAGTGTACAGCTGGAGGAGAGTAGGCATTATGCACCTCAAGGCCAGCCAGGCAGAATGTTTTGTGCTAAGGGCATTGTTGTGTAACTTTATCATCCCTATCTCCTCTCCCTTAGGATTACATATAGAAGAACTAACAGTATAAATTTCTCTGCAGATGATTCTTGGTTGTAGGTACCATTGTTTTTTTTTCTCCCAATAATGTGGGAGGGAATCCTGTGTGCAGGACAGAATGAAGTAGTCTGCCAGCCTGCCTTGAATCCATTTGGGAGACCTTTTCTGTTTTTTGAGAATCGACTTCAGGATTCTCCTTCCTGAGTCCCAGAAGGAAAGATCAGCCATTTATCTTGATCTAGTCCTGATGCTTAGTTCTGGCATACAGATGGTTGGAGGCTGTCTCCACTCATACCTTCCTACATTATCAGCTAAGCTCATCAGATCTAGCTCTCTTTCTCTGCTGTCAGATTTTTGTTTGTACGTCCATTATGCTTTTAGTTTCTGAGGCAGAGTCAGAAGACCTTTACTTGGCTCTTCTGTTTAATTTCTTTGGTTAACGTTTTCAAATATTTTTCTTAGTAATATTTTCCAGACTTAGTACTTCATTTCTGTTCTCACTGCTATCACTAGACCATCATTACACCATCATTACTCTCCTAGAATCTCTTTTGAAATCCATTTTTCCCATGTACTGCACTACATCTATGATTAGTATTGGTCTCTTTAACATCCTATTTTGATTATATTTCTATCCAACTACAGTACTGAACTTAGTGGTTCATTCTGTGTATTGAGTCAAGTTCAAATACTTTGTTCTGTCATCTAAGATCCTGTTTAATTTTCTTTGTTCCTCTATAGGTTCGTGTAGATCATACTCCCATAAAAATTTTAGAGACAGTTCTCTACATTGGTTTCAAATCTCTCAATTCTGAAAGAGCCTGTACAAGTTCTGATTAAATAAATTCAGTGTGTTTCAGAAAGTAATTTTTATAAGTAAAACATAGTAAAAGACACAATACCTGTAATCTCCCTCAAAATACCCCCCCCCCACTTCAAACACACTTACCCTATTGTTCTTGCCACTTTCTGAAGCAGTTCTGGAAGTTCTTTTTCAAGAGTGTCTTTATGAGGTGTGGTCAAAAATACAATGAACGCTGCTGCCAACTGCCACCCAATGGGAAGGCAGGTCCATAAAGACTTTACGGTGTGTCCACATCTGCCTTACTCATTGATTCTGGCACTGTGTGACTTCTGGTTCTTCCCCCAAGTCAAAATGACCATGAAAGGTAAAAGTTTTGAATTGATTCAGGACATTGAGGCAGCTGCAAAAGTACAACTAAAAACATGAAAGAGGGCTTCCAGAACAGCTTCCAAAAATGCCAAGAATGATGGGATAAGTGTTTTTGGCAGTGAAGAGAAGTATTTGAGGGGGATTAATGGGAAAGTATCTTTGTTTTTGGAGACAAGGTTTGACTATGCAATTCAGACTGGCCTTGAACTCATTTTGTAGCCCAGGCTGGCGTCGAACTTACAGCAATTCTTCTACCTCAGCTGCCCAAGTGCTGGGATTACAAGTGTGTATCATCATGCTCGACGGGAAGGTATCTTTTACTTCAGTAATTTTGTTTGTTTGAGACAGAGTCTCACTATGCAGTTGAGGCTGGGCTTGAGCTTACTTTGTAGCTCAGGCTGGTCTCTAACTCGCAATGATCCTTTTACCTCAGCCTCTCGAGTGCTGGGATTACAGGTGTGTGCCACCACGCCTGGCTAGTAATTGTTTGTTAGAAAAATTTAGTCATCATATTTTTTGATCATGCCATGTAACTTTCTCCATTGATGATAAAAGAAGTTTTATCCTAGCTCTGGAATTTATAGTTGGAAAATTCCACCAATATAAGGACAAAAATATTTAACCAATTTCTAGATATCTAGCTCAGGAAAGATGGGGTCGATATGCCTGCCTGGCAAGCGCAAGGTCGTGAGTTCAGTTCCTGGTACTGGAGAAAAACCAAAAAAAAGAAAAAAAAAAAAAAAAGATGGGGTAGATAATAATTTTAAACACTTTGATATTTTTAGAGTTATAGTATACTATAAAAACAAGGGAAAGCTTAAAAAATAAACCCATGTGCCCTAAGTAACCACTGCAGAATGGTTAGGCTGAAAGTAATTTAGAATTAAGTGCTTTTGAGGACAGTGATAATAGTCATTATGATGATATTTGAGAGGTTACTGTTTTTTATTCAGAAATGTTACCTTTTATGGCAAACACACTTTTCCATAATCTTTCATTTATTTATTGGGCACATGGCATCTTTCTAAATTCCACTTTCTTATCAATGTATCGAAGGGATTTATGATACAGTAAGAATATGGCATTTTGTTATGGTCATTGTGAATCTCCACCCTAAATTACTCTTATGTTTACACATCATCAGTTAAGAGCCATTACACGGTGCTAGGAAAAGTGGTGAGCTACAAAGTCTCAGAAATAGACTTAAATTTATGTTTTGCATTTTGTATGTGTAGGCATTGGGTAAGAGCATAGTAGAACACTGGGTTCTCATCTTGGTGTTGCTTCTGAAAAACTAACTTGATTACTGTCACATTTCTTTTTTTTTTGTTTTTTTTTTTTTGGTTTTTCTCCGGTACCGGGAACCGAACTCACGACCTTGCGCTTGCCAGGCAGGCGCTTTTGCCACTGAGCTAAATCCCCAGCCCCATGTCACATTTCTTGTATACTGTCCAATCCTTATCAGTGAATGAGATAGTGTGTGCTCAGATAAATCTTCACTGAACAAATGACTA